AATAAATAAATTTAGATGTTCATTTATTTATATGTATAAAATACATATAAAATAAAAAATACTAAATTATATAAATATATATAAAAAATAATATAATTTATATAATACATATAAAATAAATAATAATGTTATTAAACGTTATTATACAACGTAATAAATAAAGAAAATAAATATATAAATTATATAATGCATATAGGAAATGATTAAATATATACATAAATATAAATATATAAAAGCAATTTATATGTTCATTTATTTATAAGTATAAAATGCATATAAAATAAAAAAAATACTAAATAATGAATATAAACAAACATTAAATAATTAATATATACATATAAAATAAATAAATAATAAACACAAAAATAAAGAAAATAAATAAATGATATAATGCATATAGGAAAAGATTAAATATATACATTTTAGAAAATCATTTATAAATCATTATATTGAATGATACCATATTACCATCTCATGCTACCACTGTACCATGGTGTCTACTACGGTGTCCACTACCCTTGCTACACATAATATATGTTTATGCATTAATAAATGACTGCATGTGTCCACAGGTGTGTTCTGATGTGGGACACACGCGAACACACTCACGCCTCAGCCACAAACAGCGTCCCTGATCCCAGTCTCTTCCCGTCCAGAACTGCAGTGGTGTCGGCCTGCTGGAGCCTCACGCCCTCGCTGGGTGGATGCAAACTCTTCAGCACAACCATCCTGATGAACTGCAATCACCGTGAAGCTGCTGAAGCCGCTAACACTGATGCTCTATTGAGACAATACGCGAATAAAGCGCTGCAGCAACAACAGTAACTCTCATTCAACGCGTTCTGCTTTAACTGCATTCGTGTACAAGAGAAACGCGGCCGGTTTGCGTGGCGAGAAACTTTCAAAATGTCACTTCTGTAGCACTCACTCGTTTCATTTCATATCAACTAAAGCGTAGCGCCTCTTCAGGATCGGAGGAGATGCGGCACAATTTTCTTTAAACAACCACTTTGCATTATAAATATTTTATTCATCTTTTAAGATTTAAATAGATTCTTTTATTGTTTGCATAAGGGTAGTTAACTAATAAACATTTTCTAATTATTGTATAATTATTATACGTGTGGTTTTTATGACCACGCATTAATTCAGAGATTACACAGAATGTTTGTATTTTCAATATAACCCACTGCACTACGTTTGCATTTTTTTTAAAACATCAAAAATGCACACGTTCTCTTATGTTTATATGTATTTAAACCTATAATATTGTTGAAATTATGCCACACATAAAAGTAAATGCTTCTGGTATCTTGAAACCTTTACAGCTACTTAAGACAAATTATGAGCCAAAAACATTAACAGCAACATATTTAGTTTATTTCCGTTTTGTGAATAATTTCCTTGAAACATGGAGACGTATGTCTAAAAAGTAAGATTACAAATAGGAAAACACGAATTCCAGTAGTATACGGATCAAAAACACATTCTTTAACTGAAAGCAAAGACCATAATTATTCTAATGCTTTTTTTTTCTTCTGAATATTGGATTTGTTTTGTAATGGGGTGGATTTGTGTTGGAATGAATTCATAGTGTTCTAATTCAAACAACCTTCCAGCATAAACAACACCAGCCTGGAGTAAATACTAAAAATACCTCTATGGAAAGAGTGATCGGACTGTTGTCGAACAGAACTTTTCAACAGTACGGTACCAAACAGCACCATCAAAGGTGCTTGAACGACAAGTGCATTCATTTGACATATTAAAACTCAGACAGGGACTTAAATGTGCCTGAACGTCTCATTAAAGTGTCCTAAAACTTCAGAAACAGCTTTCAAAGAGCAGAAAAGGTCCTAATAGGAAAAATAAGGCAATCATATTCTTTTTAGTATAACATACAATGTTATTTTAGGTTAAGAGAGTGTATTAGTCTTTTAAATTAAAATGATTTGCAGCTAAATTGCAGATCTTTAATATTAAGATCATTTTCAATTGTCCTCCAATGTGTTTCTTCCTGTATTTGCTGGTCTACTAACTAGTTTAAAGGAATAGCTGACCCTAAAATGAAAATTTGCTGAAAATGTAGATGAACAGATTTGGAGAAATGTAGCATTGCATCACTTGCTCTGCAGTGAATGGGTGCCGTCAGGATGAGAGTCCAAACAGCTGATAAAAACATCACAATAATCCTCAAGTAATCCACACCACTCCAGTCCATCAATTAACATCTTGCGAAGCCAAAAGATGTTTGTATGCAAGAAATAAATCCATCATTAAAGCATTTTAACTTTAAACTGTCACTTCTGGCCAAAATATGAGTCCATATTCCATAATAACGCTTCTTCCAGTGATAAAAGTCCATCTCCTGTTTTTCTCTCACATCAAAATCCAGCCACATATTTGTTTAGAACTGTTCTGGCTTGCAAACGGTGCTTGATCTGTGCAGATTTCTCTCCTGATTCAGATGAGACTTTTTCCACTGGATAGAGGACTCAACATGAAGTTAAAAACATCTTAATCTTTAATTTATTTCTTACAAACTCACAGCTTTTGTCTTCTCCAGATGTTAACTGCTTGACTGGAGTGGTGTGGATTACTTGTGGATTATTGTGATGTTTTTATCAGCTGTTTGGACTCTCATTCTGACGGCACCCATTCACTGCAGAGGATCCATTGCTGAGCAAGTCTGTTCAAATCCAAATCTGTTCCCATAAAGAATCAACCTCATCTACATTTTCAGCAAATTTTCATTTTTGGGTGAACTATTACTATTAGGCAAGGTTCGGCATCACACGTCAATCCCAAATTTCCTTCATGTACAACAAAGAAGAAAACATTAATACAGAGAATGTAAACCTCTACAACACCAGTCTGAAATGCACGTAACACGTAAGCTTCAAATGCACGCCGTCCAGTGTCTCTAGAGGACTACCGAAGCCGCTTTATACAAACAAAATCGTACTGGCCGTAAATGACAAAGTGCTTTACTCAGAGGAATGGTGACTGTAGTATTAAGAAGCCCCTGTTCTAAACCGGTCGGGTGATGCATGCGGCTGGATGAACTAGAGTGCATTCAAACATCTGAACGGACACTACGGCATTCGTCTGGAAGCTTCATTTTTGGTCCACTACACCCAAAAACCAGGAGACTACGGTGGCTGATGAGGGACATTCCCGTGAGAAGGCGATGAGAAAATAAACGTATTTAAGCTACTGAGCTGATCATGACAACTGTTCACTGTCGAAAACAAAGTTAACAAGGTCCGTGACTCCAGTGAACTCTTCCTCGTCCTCGTCGTCGTCGTCGTCGTCGTCGTCATCCTGATCTGCGGCCCTCAGCGGGACCAAGCCGTTGTGCCTGACGGGACCTCGAGACCCCGCCGTGTGCTTCCACCGGACGCTTCCTCGTGTGTTCTCCTCTTCCTCCTCTTCTTCGTCTGTTTCTATGCGGTTCGACCTCTTGCGGAGGGGCCGTTCGTCTTCCGTTTCTCCTCCATCTTCCTCTTCCTCCTCGTCTTCACTGGAGCTTCTCTGCTGTCTCTGTTTTTCTCGTTTGTGCCTGTGTTTGGAATCTTCCCTTGTTGAATCGCACTTGCGTCCTTTTTCTGATCTCTGATGCGATTCCTTTGGCTCAAAGTCTTTAGAAAGTATGGACTCTGGAAATATAGGTTGAGAAGAAAACAGCTGACATTTCTGGTTGTAATTAACCAGTATAGCTAACAGTGAGCTAATATTTATATGTAGTGTGATGAGACAAAATGAAAAATCACAAACGGAAAGTCCTTAGGGATGCATTGTTTCGTTTTAATCTTGTCTAGTTGTGCAAAAAAAAATTGTGCTGAAAATTGTGCTTTAAATAAATCATCATGCTGAACACTGGATTTAAGCAAGAACAAAAATTAAAAGACACACCACTCCTTATACAGAAAAACCAATATATAATATATATTTAAGATTTTTTTTTTTAATTAAATGAAAAAAATAGCATTTTTTTGGGGTACAATCTACAAATCAGCTGTGATTAATTAGTCTTTGATAATGTCTAAATATATAAACCTAGTAAAAGTAATTATGTCTGAAAATACACTTATTAGCAATTAAAAGGATCTGCCTTCCATGCATTGGATTTTAAATAACTCATATTTAAAACAAATATATTTTATGTATGTTAATATTATACATTTAAAAAATATATATATTTTAAAGTTAAACACTGTATTAATTTAAAATGATCTGAAATATTTTTGTAATATGTCTATTATTTTATTATCAAATTAATGTATGAAGGCTGCACATTAAACAAAACACGCAAAAGTGAGTTGTTTTTTAATGTGCTGATTCTTTTGCCTGAGGAAGCTCGATTGACTGAAATGTTGATAATAAAATTTCATAAATAATGCAAGTTTGAGTGTGCAGGATTTCGAATTTTTTTCGAGTTTATATTGGACTTTTATCCGTCATATCCTGGGTGTGCGAGACACTATACATTATTTTTATTTTCTGTGCATAATTCCGAGGTCTTGTAACATGAAATTGTTAAAAAATACAAAATATAAAAGACTACTGAAACAAAATATAGAACATTCATTTAATTATAAATAATTTTATACTTATTGTCTTTGGCCAGTTTTGAGTTGAGATACATATAAGTAAAATTTTTTGGGATTTTTGCCTTTATTTAGATTGGACAGCAGGAGGACAGCTAGGAATCATGGGAGGAGAATTGGACTGGGAAAGGACCTCGAGTCGATATCGGAGCACTTGCCCACATGGCTATGGCTCAGATGACATTAGCATAAATAAGCATTTGAAAACAGGAGTGTGGCAGTGCTCACCTTCACTGTTGGAGCTGGACAGCCGTCGACGGTGAGGAAGAGAGGAGTGCTTCTGATCGGACGCCTTTCGTGACCCGTCAGACTCTGACGTCTCACAGTAGTTGACCTGAGAGTTCTGACTCCGTCGCGGACGCCTTCTATTCACATCCACATCGCTATCGCTGAACTCGTTAGAGCCTTCTGTTTCTGACAGATCAAGACAAAAGTAAAAACCGTGAGTGAAGAATTCAATGTGACACTAATAAGGCTCTGTGACCTACAGTACCTCCAAAAACAGAAGCAGCACAATTATGCTGCCTTACTAAAATAAAGACACCAGCTCACTAGCTTTGAAACAGATTCTATATGTTATTATTTTAGGTAGAATGGATATGAAAACTCAAACAGACCCATTCCCTCTTCCTCCTCCTCCTCTTCCTCAGAGTCTAACATGTCCTCTTCTTCTGAGGTTCCTCTTCGTCGGGAAGGAGGTTTGCGTCTGCTCCTCCTGGTTCCCAGAGTGTGAGCACTTCTTCCTGTTCTCCTGGAGGCTGGTTGATTCTCGGCGGCACTTTCACCACTGCCCCATTCACTCGCGTCATAAGAGCCCGCGTCACCCTCAGATGCACCATCTCCTGAAACCACAAAATCCTCCTCCTCCATACTAGCAACATAGAAATTAAAACAAAATAATACTTTTATTTAGCAAGGATGCATTCAATTCATCAAAAGTGACAGTAAAGACATTTATGATGTTACAGACAATTTCTATTTCAAATAAATGCTGTTCTTTTGAACTTTCTATTCATCTGCGAATTCTGAAAAATAAAATGCATCACGGTTTCCACAAAAATATGAAGCAGCACAACTGTTTTCAGCATTGATAATAATCAGAAATGCTTATTAAGCAGCAAATCGGCATATTAGAATGATTTCTGAAGATCATGTGACACTGAAGACTGGAGTAATGATGCTGAAAATTCAGCTGCGCATCACAGAAATAAACTACATTTAACTTTATATTCAAAAACAAAACAGTTATTTTAAATTGTAATAACTTATCACAATATTTTTGTTTTTACTGTATTTTTGATCAGATAAATCAAGCCTTGATGAGCATTTGAGATTAGTTACAAAAAAAGTTTACCTTAAAATTCTTCTGCCTTCATACTACTAATTTTTTTTTAGGACAAATAAGATGTGTACATTATTTTCATAAATATTAAGAATATTTTCCCCCCAAATTCTCCAAAAAGTCTCTTTATTCTTCATAATGATTCTCATGGTAATCTTCAACCAATGTAACACAGTAATTTTGGCTTATAATAATTTACTACATAAAATTTACTGCACAAAAAATACTGACTGAAAATGACAATAGTGACAATGAATTATTAAGCAGAACAACAAATACTACAGTAACAATGCATAAATACCTTACAATTTTGCATTTGGGGAAAAGTGTGTTTAATTATCATGCAAAAAAAACTTAAGGTTTTTATGGTCATAAAAACACAAAAACAATGTCTTACAAAAGCAATTTTGGAGTAAAATATGACCAGGACAAGTTCTTGACAAGTTCTCTGTGAGATTCACCCATAGAGCACTTTGAAAGCGCTTATTTATTTCAGGCCTAGATCTGTTATACTTTGAAGAACTGGTATAAAATCCATCTGATTTAAACCCTAAAAGCCCAAATTTGAACCCCCAGTATTGTAAATATTCTTGTATTTGTGTTCACACACACCTGTCACTGAGCTGAAACTCGTCCTCGCTCTCCTCCGAGTCCAGCGTACTGTCACTGTCCAGGTCATTGAGTCGCCGGCGTTTCCTCTTACGCGGGGCGGGAGCTTTCACAGGCCGTCGACTCTCACGGCTCGCCACGCTCCTCTGCTGACTCGTGACGGGCGCCGCAGGTTTACCGCCACCAGCGCCTGCAGGACACGCCACCAGTCAACATGCAACAGCACACATATTATAAAGCACTAAACAATGTCTCACATGACCAACCTCCTCCTTCTGGATCTTGAATATCTTCCTCTATTGCTTCATCGATGGCTTCATCGAAATCATCAAACCTGGTCGTTAGCAACAAGAAAATCAAGAATTAGCCAGACTTGTATCTACTATTAGAGTTTATTTCCACAAGAAATATTGATTACCTATAACTGATGGATTTCCTCGTCCTAGTTGATCGCCTGCCCAGATTTTTAGTTTTCTTGGCATCTTTTTTCTTCTCTGTCAAGCCGTCCTCTCCATCACCATCCTGACATGATAATGAGGAGTACATTTAAAACCAAATAAAGCTGATTAAGACATTTTAAAATCTCATTGTATTAGTTTATATTATATAATTAATTTGTTTAATTAATTTAGATATAACATGGCATACTGTGGCATAATTTACTCTAGCATACTATGGTATAGAATACAGTACTATACAGTATGGTACATTATAGCATAGCACATTATATTATAGGAAAGTAGAGTATGTGACATTATATAATAATATAGTACAATTTAATATAATATAATTGATTTATGTTTAATTAATTTAGATATAGATCATTTAGATAATTTACTATAGTATAAAATAGTATATTGTACAATACAGTATGGTACAGTACAGCAAAGTACATTGTTATAGAAAGTATAGTATGGTATAATATAATATAATAGCATAGCATACTATTGCTTAATTTACCATAGTATAAAACAGTATAGCACATGGTACAATACTGTATGGTGCATTATATAACAGAATAATATATAATATAATATATTTATAGTTTATATAAAATATTTTATTATGATATAATATAACATTTATCACATATCTATTAATTTAGATATAGCATAGCATACTATGGTATAATTTACTACAGTATAAAACAGTATAACATATGATACAATACAGTATAGTACAGTATACATAACATAACATAATCTTTAATTTAGATACAGCATAGCATACTATGGCATAATTTACTGTAGTATAAAAATATATTGTACAATACATACGGTACAGTATAGCATAGGAAAGCATAGGACATAATAATGGAAAGTATAGGACATAATATAATATAAT